CCTGTAGCTGCAAACCACTGGTCAGCTGGCTGAAAGGAGACTTCTACACTTTTACCACTAATTAAGGTAACTCTGTTTTAAAACTACCGTTTATAAGCTATGCCTGCATCTCTGAGCAGATAGCCTAATTGAATAATATAATCTCAGCAATGCTCTATACGGAGGAAATGAGTCCAATTTTCTGTGCAAAAAATACTAAAACTACTACTACATTTAGCAGCTGTTTGTTCTAATTTTCAAAATATCAATAAATAAGTGGTACAGATAAAGTGACTACAACTATCTAACCAGAAAAAACTCACTTATTTTGCTCAACGGCAGGAGGAGTCAGCATGGGACCTAATTTCACAAGCATAAAAATCACATAAGCAGTCTATCCATAATGACACAAATGTAACTGTTCATTACTAGACTTTAATATAAACAACGGAACAGGATGTGGGAACACACCCATACAATCACTGAGCAGTATTTAACTCATTTAACCACGTTGCTCTCAGCTGAGGAGGAAATTATTCATCTTTATCAGTGAAGACAAACTCTCTCACCGTGTCACTCTGCTCCTGTGATGAACCAACAGAAAACACACACAGACAGGCGGAGGTGTCACTGCTCTCAAAACACCCAAAACACAGAACCAGTGACCTAACTTATGTGCTTTGTGAAGCTCCAGCAGATTTCAGGTGATCCTGCAGTTTTCAGGATCAGTATTAATTAGCAGGTTGTGTCTTTTTGAAATCCCAGTATGACGTTTGAGCAGAGTGAGCTGCTCGTTAATCGACTCAATTAAAAGACAATAACATGTCAAAGAGCCATCCAACTGAGCATGTGGTTGAAAAATGCATCTACATGACATGAGGTTGTGCTTACATGTCAGGGTTGGCACTGACTGGGCTAAATCTGGTCCACAAATGACAGTGGAGATCTAAATAGAATTTGAGACATGTTTTGTATCAACTGTAGAGTCATAATGCTCAGTAATCTGGACGTTTGCATACATGTATCTTCATAGATGCACTCCTATCAACCACTGACCAAGACTTGGGCAACAGGCATTCATAACAACGTTTGATTCACCTAAAATAATCTGGAACGCCACAGAGATTGTCCCAATGTAATGTTTACGATCACTTTTTATTTAGATTCTTGTCAATACATGACGCTCCTTTAAATGAATGATCTTATTGTGCTATTTTAGAACTCGGTAACCTTTTATAATGAATGCCCGCTTGCTTTCCCTAAAACATTTCCAATCAGGTGGGAAACCCTGAATTGGACTTCTGCATCCAGCCAGTGATATCTTTTCTAGGTTTATTTTGGAACTCGGTCTCTCTGGAAGCATAAACAACAGGTAAAAATGTGTCTAGCCCATAGATAACACCTGTTTAATTCAATGTGTGCAATCTTTTCAAATTTCCACTGGGGTCACACTTCTGTGGGCTCTAGTGCTGACTCAGAAGAAGAGAGAATGATGGTTGATAGAAGCAGACCCAGAACTAGAACCTTCAAAGAAGAGACCCATTTGGACTTATTAAACCTGGATCAACAGGCCTTTTATTCTAACCTTTTGATTTTTGTTCTAATCTTTAAAGTTCCAACAAGCTTTTTTTTTGTTTTTTTTTTGGCTTTGTGCACCTGTTGCAGAAATGAGACACTTTGTCCATCTTGATTGTTTCTTTTATTTTGTTTTACAATTTGGTTCCAAATGTTATGATTATGGACTGTTTGTCTGCACCATCTCTGTCTGCATGCATTTTCACCTGCTCCTTCCCAGCCAGCTCCCTAATAACACCTCATCTGCTCTCCCTGTACACCTGTCTTTATAGGCAGCACGCTGACAGACAAACTGCACCAGATTATCGAAAGCCTTTGTGTGAGTAAATGTCCAGTGTTTCTTCCTTGACTGCCTGATCCTGATATCTTTTTTGCCCTCGGATTTCTCTGCTCTGCCTTGCCCACGTTGGATATCTCACTGGCTTCTGAATTCTGGACATCGACCTTGCTTCTGCCTCCTGACTACCACTCTCTGCCTAACCCTCGGATTCGCCTGCCCGAATCTGCCTTCCCGTTCATGACCTCGTTTCTGTGCCCTGACCAACGATTCAAGCCTCTCCCTCGGATCCTGTTGCCTGATTCTGCTTCCCCGGCTCTGACCCAGTTTCTGTCCCCTGACCACTGCAATCTGCCAATTCACTGGGATTGCAAACCTGAGATCCCGTGTGAAGTTGTCCTGCTGTCTGCAGTCCATCGCTCTGAGGAGCCGAAATTCAGTGTCCTGATTTTCCCACAGATTCTGAAAAGAGGTTCCTGAGCCTACCGCTGGTGGTTGTCTGCCGAACGTCACTCAGAGCTTTCAATAAATCTTTTGAATCTGTTGTGTCTGGCTGAAATTTCGGGTCCTCTGTACAACCTGTTACAGTCCAAGAGAAGAATCCACCAAGTCATTTTCAGATCATCTCTAGGAAAGGAACCCCCAGCTGGTCTAAGGGTGACCCTGGTGGTTTAGCAAAAGGTGTGTGTCAACATATTCTCCATCAGCAGCGTCAGAGTTAGGGAACTGCACCTCCCACCTCTCTCTGATTCACAGAGAGAAGTGACTCCATAGTCTGATATTAGACCACAGGAGGAAGAGTGTTCAAATATCCTGCCAGGATTATGACTGAAGCTTGCTGGAGGCTTCACAAATGTGTAGCCACCAGCTGCTTGCTAACAGACAAATGTTGGTGGGGTTGTATGTATATATTTGAACCTGTATGTGTTCAAATTCATATTAAAACGTGTGCACCCATGCAGGTCTTGTGTTTAAAAATCACCGAAGTTTGATGTACAATCAAAATGAACAGTTAAAGTAAATCCCTAGAAGCCCAAACTTAATGAGATAAATGCTCAGGAGTGAATGGAAACCTCTTCCTGTAAATTCTACTTTATTCCCAATAATGTGTTGGAGAGTTTTGTCCCTGTAATGCAACCACGGAGCCTGGCAAGTGTCAGCAGGTAAGAAAAAACAAAGCCGGTGGAAATCCATGCTCACGCTTTATTAAACGTTGCTGTCAATTTCTGCAATCCGTGTGCACAGATTACTCAGTGGCATCTGTCGAGAGTTTGGACGCATGGCACACACCTACAAAGTAAGTTCAGTGGATCTGTTGTCATAAATAAACTTAAAGCACTGTCATATTTTAATCAGCACACTTCACAGCTTGTAATATGACTTTATTTTTGTTACACTAAGGCATTCGAACACGTTTAAACTTCCGACAGATGTCACCGAGCAATCTACGTGCACGGATTGCAGAAACCGAAAGCACAGTTTATTAAAGCGTGAGCTTTGTTTTTTTTTAACCCGGTGACACCTGCCGGGCTCTGTACTTTTCCCACTTCAGATGAGTTAATTACAAAATACATCTGGAGCGAATATATTTCTAAGCCATTAGTGACAATGATGTTTTTAATGCTCCACTGCAGAAGACAGTGGAATGATGCATTCCTCTAACAGATCCACACAAAGATAAGAAGCATTGCTTGAAGAGTGTGGGAGATTTGGAGATTATTATATTAGACTCCTATATATTAATGTCTGTGAACCTTCCACAACTGGATTGATAAGGTTTGTATTCTGAATAAAAACAGGAACATGTTTTTACTTATGTTTTTACCAATTTAGTCATGGATAATTCATGAAAAAATCAATATATCACACACTGAAAGGATGAATTATTCCTTCTGTTATGTCCAAACCCTCTATTTGTATACCCAAAAAGGCGCTTTGTTCCCTCTTTCTTCTGAGAACACAGTAAATATTTTTACGCAATCTTTGTATCACAAACAGCGCTGGCTGAAAAACGTGTCAGACAAAACCATCCAGTGAAAAGCTTTAGTGGTTATTATTTATTATAAATCAATTTCTGATTAACACTCTGGATGTCTAGCATTCTGGCACGTTCAAGTTAGGTAATATTTATTAATACTGTCTTTTTTTCCCTCTAATGTCTTTAATTCATTCATTCATTCATTCATCTTCTATACCGCTTCTTCCATAGTGGGTCAAGGGGAAGCTGGTGCCTATCTCCAGCAGTCTAGGGGCGAGAGGCGGGGTTCACCCTGGACAGGTCGCCAGTTCATTGCAGGGCAAAACAGAGACATACAGGACAAACAACAATGCACACACTCATTCACACCTAAGGGCAATGTAGAGAGACTAGTTAACCTTTTTTGACTGTGGGAGGAAGCCAGAGTAACAGGTGAGAACCCACGTATGCATGGGAAGAACATGCAAACTCCATGCAGAAAGACCCCCTACTGGGAGTCAAACCCAGGACCTTCTTGCTGCAAGGCAACAGTGCTACCAACTGCACCACCCTGCAGCCCCTGAATGTCTTTCATATGGACTGAAAGTATATTTTTCATACCGTGGGTTATTTGCACTTAAAACTTGTTTGCACAAAATAAATGTCTTTAAATTGAAGCTAATTATAGTGGTTAATTGTTCTTAAGGCACTGAGCCTCAGCTGATTGTTTTTGTCTGATTGCCTGCCTCACTGCAGCGGAGGGAGAAATACTGCAAGAGAAAGAAACGCTGCAGAATGAGCCTGTTGCAGATTTTCAAACCCTCCACTGCTGATATAAAAGTTGCACTGATGAGAATGCAGCTTCTTTGCATAATGGCAGCTCACTCCAAGAAATGGTGTTTGTTTGTCTGTGTAATAGCAGCAGCTTTAACTGGTCATGTTGATAGAGCACTCCCCAGAGAGCAGGGTGCTTCAGGTTCAAACTGAAATGAAAGAATAGATCAAACATATCTCTTGTATAATGAGCACCCAGGGGATGGAGGCACAGAGAACAGAGGAAAGCACAACTGCATGCAAAAAATAAAAAATATACTGCAGTGGATTTGTCCTGCCCAGTTCCATAGTCACCATCCATATGGCTGCAAATTGAGCAGCTTATAATGTTTAATGATTATATACTTTTAGAATATGTTGGATTTAAAATGTGTATCTGGCAGTGAAGGGTGGCTCAGTTGGTGGAGCAGAGGCTCTAGGTGCGGAGGCTATAGTCCTCAACTTGTTCTGGGTTCAGTCCCCAGTCTTGGGCCATTTGCTCCACAAGGCCATTCCTGGAAGAGCTTGAAAGCTGGAAATCTGTCTGATACGAGAAGATCAGGAGATTTGTTTACCAATCGAAGACCATGCCGACACCCGGTGCAGGTGGAAACCCACAGAGGTTCTATGTCCAAGGAGATGAGTTTTCCTCCTTGTGTAATGCAGTCGACTAACGGTTCATCTTTTCCCCTCCTGGACGGATGAGAAATTACCATTTAATTCGATCACGGACGGTGATCCCCCCCCCCATTTTTCATCAGACCTGATCCATCCTCAACCGGT